ATTGTAATCGAGATCAAAGGAATACAAATCAATTTTCCTTTATTTTTTTTTACTGCAAATTTTCCAACAAACAGCCGTCGCTCCCCGTCTCACCCTCGACTACGCCGGAGTTCGCCGCTGTGCATGCCACTTTTGAACCCTATAGTATGATAGGACGGAGGATGATGACCAAGAGAAAAGAGTGCATGATGCCCAAGAAAAATGAAAATGAAGAGGCTGCAGGCACAAAGCCACTCTTTTTTTTTTGGAATTTAATGAGAAGCCACTGCTTGTTAAGAAGATTGTTAGTCAAGATGGCGAAGAGATGCCTGTTGGGTTTAAAATTTTAAGAGGTGATCTTGGTGCTGGAGCTGAGGAAAGAGATGGCGAAGCTTTTTTTGATAAATTTGATGTTGGTATTCTTATCTTTACTTGGATTTTGTCATGGAGTATTCTCCCTAAAGAAATGTTGAATGCCTTAACTTGCAGGAATTTGATGCTAAAATTTGATGTTGGTATTCTTATCTTCGCTTGGATTTCGTGTTCGTGTTAGTTCTAACTCAATTCATGTTAGCTCTAAATAGTTAGTTCTAATTTAGAACTAACAAGAACTGAGTTAGAACTAACAGGAACTGAGTTAGAACTAACATAAACCCAGTTAGACCTAACATGAGTTAGAACTAATTGGAAAGCTGGAGTCATGCTCAAGCCGTGAAATCCTTGCCGTGTTGTTAACAACGTCGACACGATCACTGAATTCACTATATTCTTTTGATAATTAATTCACTAATCAATGCATAATGCGCATTTGGGAGTTTGCAGCATCTGCAGAAAGCTTTCTTGTGCCATTCCGTAACTATCACAATCCTGTGATTTGTTGTAATTATTTATTGTTAGGTACTTGTTTAGTTGGAGCCCACGGTACCCAAATGAGAGAGGCGCACGGAGAGTGGTTAAAATTAGAATTAATGGGGTTAAAATTAGAACTAACTTGTTATAACATAAAACTAACTTAGTATAAAATAGAACTAACTTGGTATAAAATAAAACTAACGTGGTATAAAATAGAACTAACTTAGTATAAAAATAAAACTAACTGTGTAGCATGTTAGTTCTAATCTGCACAATGTTAGTTCTATTCTGTAGCGTGTTAGTTCTAATCTGTAGCGTGTTAGTTCTATTCTGTAGCGTGTTAGTTCTAATCTACACAGTGTTAGTTCTATTCTGTAGCGTGTTAGTTCTAATTTGCACAGTGTTAGTTCTATTCTATAGCGTGTTAGTTCTATTTTATACCGCGTTAGTTCTAATTTATGCCAAGTTAGTTCTAATTTATACCACGTTAGTTCTATTTTATACTGCGTTAGTTCTAATTTATATCACGTTAGTTCTATTTTATACCACGTTAGTTCTAATTTATACCAAGTTAGTTCTAATTTATACCACGTTAGTTCTATTTTATACCGCGTTAGTTCCAATTTATACCAAGTTAGTTCTATTTTATACCACGCTAGTTCTAATTTTAACCATATTAGTTCTAATTTATAACAAGTTAGTTCTAATTTATAACAAATTAGTTCTAGTTTTAACCACGTTAGTTCTAATTTATACCACATTAGTTCTAATTTATATCAAGTTAGTTCTAATTTATACAATGTTAGTTCTATTTTATACCAAGTTAGTTCTATTTTATACCACGTTAGTTCTAATTTTAACCATATTAGTTCTAATTTATAACAAGTTAGTTCTAATTTATAACAAATTAGTTCTAATTTTAACCACGTTAGTTCTAATTTATACCACGTTAGTTCTAATTTATACCAAGTTAGTTCTAATTTATACAATATTAGTTCTATTTTATACAAAGTTAGTTCTAATTTATACAATGATAGTTATGAAATGGCACAAGAAAGCTTTCTGCAGATGTTGCAAACTCCTAAATGCGCATTATGCATTGATTAGTGAATTAATTATCGAAAGAATATGGTGATTTCAGTGATCGTGTCGACGTTGTTAACAACACGACAAGGATTTGCAAGGAGCAAAGAGAGGAACAGCCGTGATACAACAGGATTTGGGCGTCGATTTTTGGTATAATGCTCCATCGGTTTGGATACCTATTATACGGGTTATGGAGCCAACTTATATGCAAATCAAATTATTTCGTAACTATCATTGTATAAATTAGAACTAATATGGTTAAAATTAGAACTAACGTGGTATAAATTAGAACTAATATGGTTAAAATTAGAACTAACGTGGTATAAAATAGAACTAACTTGGTATAAATTAGAACTAACGCGGTATAAAATAGAACTAACGTGTGGTATAAATTAGAACTAACTTGGTATAAATTAGAACTAACGTGGTATAAAATAGAACTAACGTGGTATAAATTAGAACTAACGCAGTATAAAATAGAACTAACGTGGTATAAATTAGAACTAACTTGGTATACATTAGAACTAACGCGGTATAAAATAGAACTATAACACGCTACAGAATAGAACTAACACTGTGCAGATTAGAACTAACACGCTAGGAATAGAACTAACACTGTGCAGATTAGAACTAACATGCTACAGAATAGAACTAACACTGTGCAGATTAGAACTAACACGCTACAGAATAGAACTAACACTGTGCAGATTAGAACTAACACGCTACAGATTAGAACTAACACGCTACAGAATAGAACTAACACTGTGCAGATTAGAAGTAACACTGTGCAGATTAGAACTAACACGCTACAGAATAGAACTAATACTGTGTAGATTAGAACTAACATGCTACAGAGTTAGTTCTATTTTATACCACGTTAGTTCTATTTTATACCACGTTAGTTCTATTTTATACCAAGTTAGTTCTATTTTATACTAAGTTAGTTTTATGTTATAACAAGTTAGTTCTAATTTTAACCCCATTAGTTCTAATTTTAACCACTCTCTGTGCAGATTAGAACTAACACGCTACAGAATAAAACTAGCACTGTGCAGATTAGAACTAACACTGTGCAGATTAGAACTAACATGCTACAGAATAGAACTAACACTGTGCAGATTAGAACTAACACGCTACAGAATAGAACTAATACTGTGTAGATTAGAACTAACATGCTACAGAGTTAGTTCTATTTTATACCACGTTAGTTCTATTTTATACCAAGTTAGTTCTATTTTATACTAAGTTAGTTTTATGTTATAACAAGTTAGTTCTAATTTTAACCCCATTAGTTCTAATTTTAACCACTCTCTGTGCGCCTCTCTCATTTGGGTACCGTGGGCCAACCAAACAAGTACCTAACAACAAATAATTACAACAAATCACAGGATTATGATAGTTACGGAATGGCACAAGAAAGCTTTCTGCAGATGCTGCAAACTCCCAAATGCGCATTATGCATTGATTAGTGAATTAATTATCGAAAGAATATTGTGATTTCAGTGATCGTGTCGATGTTGTTAACAACACGGCAAGGATTTCACGGCTTGAGCATGACTCCAGCTTTCCAATTAGTTCTAACTCATGTTAGGTCTAACTGGGTTTATGTTAGTTCTAACTCAGTTCCTGTTAGTTCTAACTCAGTTCTTGTTAGTTCTAAATTAGAACTAACTATTTAGAGCTAACATGAACTGAGTTAGAACTAACACGAACACGAAATCCAAGCGAAGATAAGAATACCAACATCAAATTTTAGCATCAAATTCCTGCAAGTTAAGGCATTCAACATTTCTTCAGGGAGAATACTCCATGACAAAATGCAAGCAAAAATAAGAATACCAACATCAAATTTATCAAAAAAAGCTTCGCCATCTCCTTCCTCAGCTTTAGCACCAAGATCACCTCTTAAAATTTCAAACCCAACAGGCATCTCTTCGCCATCTTGACTAACAATCTTCTTAACAAGCAGTGGCTTCACATCAAATTCCAAAAAAAAAGAGTGGCCTTGTGCCTGCAGCCCATTTATTTTCATTTTTCTTGGGCATCATGCACTCTTTTCTCTTGGTCATCCTCCTCCGGCCTATCATACTATAGGGTTTAAAAGTGGCAGGCGCAGCGGCGAACTCCGACGTAGTCGAGGGCGAGACGGGGAGCGACGACGAGCTACCGCGACGAGGTCGGGCGGAGGAGAGGAGGGGAGGCGAACTCGGGGGAGGCTTGGGTGCCTGGGCGGAGGTGGCGACGGCGAGGAGGACGAGGGCCAGGGCGACGAGCTTAAAAAAGCCATTGTTTAGAGAGAGAGAGAGAGAGAGAGAGAGAGAGAGAGAGAGAACTGGGTTTGAAGGATTGAGAAGAGGGGATAAGGTTATTTTGGGGATTTTAGCTTAGTTGGCATGTAATAATTGTTAAAAAGGGGCTGCAGCACAAAATGTCACACTTCAAGGGGCTAAACCACATGGGGGAAACTAGGAGGGGCTGCAGCACATGAAGTTTCTGTTTTTGGGGCCTGGACACATTTTTCCCTTGATTTAATTATTGTATATTTAAAACTAGATTCATATCTACTACTCTATACTTAAATAAAGATCCAAGTGTTGATATATTTGATTTAGAAATTATATCTACTCTTGTATACTTAAAAAATGATCCAAGTTTTAATACATTTGATTTGCTTTAGTGTTTATGATACAGTAAAATACTGTAGTATGAATAGTAACTTTAAGTATAGAATCGATTTACAGTTTATGCTACAGTAAATTACGGTAGCACGAACAATGCCTTCTAGGGAGAGGACCAGATTTGATTCACTGTTAATGCTACAGTTTTTACTATAGCATGAACAGTATTCTTTAAATTCTCATTTAAATATAGAAAAGTAGATGCATGGAATTAGCGACAAAGAGTAAAAATCTTGGAAAGCATCGAATAATACCGTAAGTGACTTCTGCCAGATTCTCATGAGATGACCTTTTTTGATAGTTTATTAGGCATGATCTATTTCTCGATTAGCTAGATTTTGGATAACAAAGCAACTAAAACAAAAGTATGGACATATTTGGTTATCAGTTATCGTTTGGTTTCAGGGTTATTTAGTTGGCAATCCGAGGACTGGTGAAGCTGTTGATTTCAATTCTCGGGTCGAATTTGCACATGCAATGAGCATTATTTCAGATGAACTCTATGAGGTATTTGTCACTAAGGGGGTGTTTGGCAATTCGAAAGTGAATTTAAAATATATAAGTTACTTTTTTTGCAAATGACTTTTACATCTCATATTAGCACGCAAGTGAAATACAATGTTTGTTTAAAAAATTAAATTATTATCGAAAGTACAATGTGAAGATGACGTGGCAAAATAAGATTAATTAGAAAGTATACAATGTGAAGATGACGTGGCAAAATAAGATTAATTAGAAAGTATAATTAAAATCATTTAACTAAATTAGTTACTTTTTTTGTCACTTCCATGTCACTTCACCACTTTTTTAGGGAAAGTTAAAATTGCATTAAATCATACGTGGCAACTTTCTTGTATCCCACTTTCATAACCACTTACATGCAAACAAACACATAAATCGTTAAATGAAAGTAACTTTCTCACTTTCATCTTTCACTTGCATGCAAACAAACACCCCCTAATGCAAAGAGAAATGTAGTCATAATTCCACCTATCAAACTCTCAAAACATGTATCGTCCTTTGTATATCATCTTTTTATTAATATATAATCTTGCTTGTCAGGTGATACAGAAATGTTGTGGAGGAGAGGATTACAGTAATCCTAATCCCCTCAACTTAATATGCACCTCAGCGCTTGATAGATTTGAGACGGTGAGCGTCTTGTACGGTCAAATCTGCGTCTTGTCAAGTAGTAATTCATTTCTCATGTATGCAGATCAGAGTCGAACTATACAGAGACTTTATTTTGGATCCCAAATGTCCTAAAGATTATCCTCAAAGAAAACAAGCGTTTGGTGGTAGGCATTTACAGGAGAAGCATTCAAAGATCCTCCCACCGCAAGAAGTATTTCCTGATTTGAAGTGTAGAGTAAGTGAAATAACTTTTTTTCACGATTATTAAATTGGGTTGCTTATCGGAAATCACTCATAACTTGGCGCCATTTCACATTACCATCCTTAATTACCTGAGTTTCAGAAAAAACCACCCCTATGTACCACATTCCATCAACATATAACCACTCATGCCTTTTTCAATCTAATTTTCCATCCGAAAAATCTATGGTTTGATGGAACCTCTTAGCCTCTATTTCGAGCATTTGCCTATTTTTTTGATATTGTTTAGTAACAAACACTATATTGTGGTGGATAATACTTCATATTCTTGTGATTGTGTAATATTTGATGTTGTGGTTACATCAATGGTGCCACTGAAAAATTTCTACGGGTATAGTTACTTCAATATTTTGGCTTTGTTTTGTCACAAACGAGACTAACACAAGGTATAAAATCTTGGGATATCAAGGGGGTAACATGAAAGAGAACTAAGTTCGGGGTGGCTACCTTTCAAAACTGCTATCAAATACATCACATACTCTTTTCAATTAGCACCAACTTCATCATTTACTAATATGGCAGAACATTTTTTGCAGACGTATCCTTATTTTCTATCCTACTTTTGGGCAAATGATTACAACACCAGAGAGGCCCTCCATGTCAAGAAGGTGCGTCAAAAATCATGGTTTTGAACTTATTTGTTTATTTGGCTATGTAGACAACTGATATATGAAAACTAACATGATGTGATGCACATTGATAGGTTGCTATAAACTTCAAGTCGTTCATCTATTATAATCTTTTAAAAGAATATTGATATATAAAATTTTCTCTTTTCTTTTCTTTTCTTTTTTTAGGTAGATGAAATTTTTTTTATTAACCAACTGGAAAATTGCGTACACGCTCTCGAAGGCATCCCTAGTAATTAAAGCCATGCTTAAAAACAAAGAAGCAAAAGGACATCAAAATTGAGGATCAATTACAATTCATCCCAACTTCTAATGCAAGGAAATTATGCTATCTGTTGAAAACTTCAACAGTTCCTCTTCCAAAAGTGATACATTGTTGCCGCTAAAGAGGACAAAGGAAATTCCAACCTTCAAGGACTTACGCCTCCTCCATTGATACAACCATTCAATCTATGGGATCCCTTTCTATCTGCAACCACTCCATTATTTTCTTCCAAACAAATGCAGCAAATGGACAAATGAAAAATAAATGATCAAAATCCCCCACGCCATGATTGTAGAGCCCACAAGCACTCTTCTGTGACACTTCAAATTTGACATGTCTCTCCTGCAGAAGTAATCCATCCATGTGAAAACCACGATTAGTGTCGTTAGGAAAAAAAAAATTTCTGCGAAAGATGTTGAGTGTTGAAGGGGGTTTCCTAAGTGCTCCAATACTTAAAGGAGGGTTTTGTGACAGTTTGAAAGTTAAGGGGGTCATCGGAGGAAAACCCAAACTTCAGAGTGATTTTCTAAAATTTATTCACCGATGCCCATCCCGCAATTCAAAGTTCGAACCAAGAAACCAGTGATTAGTGACATATGTTGAGAGCTATACATTTGCAACCCATGACTAGTAACATATACTAAGAATCAAGACATTTGGCATAGTTACCTCAATCAATACAGGAGCATAAGCTAATATTTCATGTTGAGCAGTAACCTTTGACAAGCACAAACGGCTACACAAATTTAAACTCAACCTAGGCTGTTTTGCATCCAAATAGGGAAAGCTCGGCTATCAGATTTCTCCACGCTAAGATCATCAAACCGTGGCCTTAACAAAATAGGTCTACTACCATAACACCAAGCTCCTTCGGTAAGAAAACTCTCTCTCTCTCTCTCTACTTCTTCTTTTTCAAGTTGAAATAAGCAAATCTCAGATTTGGAGAGCATAATCTTCAGCAATGCAATGTTCTTCCAAAGTTGTCCCACACAGTGCGCCATGGCCGTACACCTAACATCCAAAGCCTAAAACATGACCACCCACAGAAGATTGCCATGGTTTTTCCCCATTTTCCCGTTCTTCCTCATTAATGAATAGATAATTAGCTGGAGGAGGAGGAGGAGGAGGAGGAGGAGGGAAAATCTCCGCTTAGCCTCTACTGAACCATCCTGTTCAATCTAATCCTCTCAGCACTACGCACTCCACTCACCAAACCAATCACTTCATCTTCACCATCAACTTCATCATCCCATCAGCTGGCCGGAAGCCCTAGTAGGACAAACCCATCCCCAAATTAGGTCTTAGGTCGAAAAGGAATCTCAGTCAAGGTTTGTATGTGCTAACAAAATTGTTGAGTGGTAATAACTAGGCTAGCAGTTAAACCCCATGTAGTACATTGTATCTGCAACTAACTCTGTAACCTTATACATGTTGAGGAATTTTAGTCTCCCCGCCTACTACGATCTGCGCAACTCGGAAGCCAACCCACAATCAACAAGATGTAAAACAACCACAATCAAGAAGAAAGAATACCGAGATTTATGTGGTTCGGTCGACCAACTTCGACCTACGTCCACGAGCAACAATACGAGAAATCCACTATGTATCAGGGAGAACTACAAGAGGAACCACTTAACTCTCGTCTCTTAATCTCTTAACCTTACATACATAATCTACTCTCATATTATCTCCAAAACTCTCTCCTTACAATCTTTTGAACGGACAAAGACTGCGAAACCCTCTCCCAATGATGTAATCTTTTGCACGGACAAAGACTACGAAACCACCGCCTCTCGCACAATATTTTTGAATCAGGCTACGCCCTCTGCTTACCCTAGATTACAAGAATATTGACTCTCTCTCCTCTGTTTGGTTTTTCCTCCAACAATAGAAGAATATATATAGGGAAACCAAAACCCTATCTCTAGCCTAACTTCCTAATTAGAACATGATTCAAACTCCTAATCATAATGAGACCCAATCTCCTAATCATGATAAATCTCTAACCCTATCTAATTCCCATAAAGTTATACAAAGAATCAAAGACACAACCCTAATAATACAATGATTTATAAACTTAATTTCTTCACAAAATATTTCTAACTTTCATGAGAAGCAGGGAACTGTGAAAGAATGGGTTAGGTGCAATTATAGCCTTGCTTATACCCAGAACGTCCAAAGCTCAGTAGCATATCATCTCAATCTGACCATGAAAGGATACCGAGCATTGGTATACAGGTAAAACTATAGGCTGCATAATGCATAATAACTTTAATCTATGGCCATTTACCGCATTCTTTCGATCTGCACAGTGGCGATCACGACATGGCTATACCATTTATGGGTACACAAGCGTGGATTCGATCTCTCAACTATTCTATTCTCGATGATTGGCGCTCTTGGCATGTGGATGGCCAAGTTGCTGGGTATATAAATTCTCCCTAGCAATCACATGAACTTGAGATCTCAAATTATGACTTCTACTATTGTTTTTTTTTCTCCTTTTTTCCCTTGCTTATCAGATACACGAGGAAGTACTCTCATAATTTGACATTTGCAACAGTAAAGGTAATTAAGGAGTTTGTGTTTATCGATTGCAGATTAAATTTGAATTCTTATGAAGAGTTCGTGTCTCTTTGGTAATGCAGAATGCTGGTCACACGGCCCCGGAGTACCAACCCAAGAATTGCCTGATTATGTTTGATAACTGGATTTCTTACGGGTCTCTATGATATGCTCCCAAATGATATGGATGAAGAAATGTGTAACTGTCGTTTATAAATTTAAATTTCTTCCATATGAAATTTATGTACTCTTAATACTCGTGTGGAAACAAACATTGGGAATAAAATTAAAATCTCCTTTCTTTTTATTTTGTTAAATTTTTTTCTGACTAACTTAAGCATAATACACGCAGCTTGCTCACTGTAGTAAATTATATACTATGGCATCTACCTCTATGATCTGTTTCAATATATCTTCCGTGAATTATTTTAAATTCTCTTATTGTAAACTAAAATAGATTTGTTTGTTTTAGTAAAGTATCATGAATTTTTCTAAAAGACATAATTTTAAAATGGATCAATTTATCACTTAATTAGAAAAATAGACTGGAAAAAATATTTAATTAGCAAAATATCAGCTCCCAAAACAACTACTCTGCACCCACGCAAGCTTCTAAACCGCAAACCAGAACGTCTCAGCCAATATCAGACCTTCACCTATGATGCAACAAATTGCAATTCCTCACCCACAACTAATTATAACTTCACCTAAGCTATGGGTGGGCGTGGGCCGGACCGGTTCGGCCTGGCCCTTTTTCTGATCCCTGATGTGGGATTGGACCCAGCCCGGCCCACGACTTGCCTAGGGGCGGGCAGAGTCCGACCCAGCCCACGACCCACGGGTCAAGGGTCGACCCGTGGGTTTTAACTTTTTTTCTTTTTTATTTTTAATTTACAAATCTTTTTTTTAAGCAAAAAATAGGGTGAGGTACCCTACTCAATACTATATTGATATATAAAATAATAAATGTAAAAAACCATACAAAAATAGGAGTGATTCAAAACCGACAGAAGCTGTATGGGGTGAGGAGCGGATCTAGTCGTCACCCACTCACAGACAGCTTCCACGTTTTCAAAACTCCCAAGGCATAAACCAAAAGTATATGATGCCCTTGCAGCTAAAAACCAAACTGAGTCAACAAATGCCTAAAACATAGAGTATCCGACTAGTAGAAAAACTACAGAAACTGGAAGAACTGAGATTGGCTCTGTAGAAGAAGAGTTGCCAGCAGGGGTGCATTCGGTTCGGGTATGGTTCAGATATGATCCTTATCATACCCATAACCACTTTCTGAAAATGGATACGGATACGGTTCGGATATTCATCGGTAAGGAAAAAACATTACCACATCCGCATTAAACGGAAACGGATACAGTTCAGATATTAGAGGTTCAGATATGGTTCGGATACGGATACTAACCGGATATTTGGGAAATAGATATGAATAGGATATGACAAAAAATACATATGATTTTAATAACTTGCAAAGTAAGATAAGTAAGACAAGTTACCTCAAGAGTTTGTTGCTATTCTGTATGACAAACCTCAGAACACCATAGCAAGCCCTAAACAAAAAATAAAAATATTGAATATCATAACTAAAATGTGATAATCAACAACTACAACTAACCTCACAAACTATAACTTTTCCCCCTTTTTCTCAGATTTTTCCTCTGTTTTATTAGAAGACTCTTCTACTGCAGGTTCAATGACCGGTTCAAAGGGGGGTTCGACTGTGGGTTCTTCATTAGAAGCTTGAACTGATGGATTAGTCGACATGATTCTAATACCTATTCATTAAAATTTATAAACTTAATCAAATAAAAAAATATAATGATGCTAATTACAATTATATATGCAACTAAAAACAATTAGAACTAATAGGTTAGGAATTTTTATCAAATAAATTAGGATTTTTCAATTCAGTCAACAAATGTTAAAAATTAGGGCTTTTATCAACAATTAGAATTCACCTTAGTGATATACCAAATTGAGGAGGAGACGAGGAGGTTGGATGTCGTCATCGCATCGTCGATGGTCGTCGTCGCGTCGATCAAGATGAGGCGATCGCAGACTTCTTGAAGAGGCGGAGGCAGAGCATCAAGATGAGGCGGAGGCGGAGCATTAAGATGAGGTAGAGCTGCGGGGCAGAGGCGGGCACGGAGCGGAGCTCTGGGCAGAGCGGGCGAGAGGTGGAGCTCGAGTGCAGAGGCTCGGTGAACCTCAAGCGGACTGCGAGGTAGAGCTCGCGAGGCGGTGGGACTACGCACGGCGAGAGCAGAGGTGGCGGGCGTAATGCGGGATGAGGATGCAGCGGTGGCAGAGCAGGGAGGTCGGCGGCGGCTTGGAGGTGGACTGGTGGAGGCTGGGTGAGTGGGGGTAGGGTTTGGAAAGATAAAAATTAGGGTTTGAAGTTATGGGTTTGAGTTGAATTTGGGTCGGGTTGAGGATATACGTTATAGACTTGACCCTATATAGACCCAATACATGTATTATACATAGCCTATTTCAAATATCTGGATATCCGAACCTATCCGCAACTTCGACCCGATAATCATATTTGAAACCGTATTCGGATAAAAAAAAATCCACACTGTAACTGTATCTGAAACCATATCCGGCCGATTTTAATTTTACCCTACCATATTGCTTTCCAAACGGATACGATTATAAGTCGGTCCGGATAAATCCGGACCATTGTGCACCCCTACCTGCCAGGCTGCACTAAGATTGACCAGGGTTAATGTCTTCCATGAAATTGTCTCTCACTGCATCAGTTGATCCATCTTTCGCCAGTTCATTCAAGCCCAGATCAATGGCCGCTTTGTGGAGTCTCGATGCTCTTCTACTACATGATGTTCCTGTCCAGACTAATGTAAAACCTGCAACGTTAGAGGCTATCATATGAGGAGTGACAGTCTTATCATTGAAAACCAGGTTATTCTGATCAACAAGTCCATGTCCACCAACAGAAACTAGGGAGAAGAATCCTCCATAGAACTCTAAGATCGGAGCTGACCAAGAAATTTCCCTTATCTGAAATTAAGGAATCCACATCCTGAGGTCAGTTATCTAGATTTTCATGTGGGAGGAGCAAGGCCCAAGCAACTTTAGAGAGAGAGCAAGTAATGAATAAATGACTCTGCGTCTTTATGTCCTGGTTACATAGGGGGCGTCTGAGGTCTCCTGTCCACCCTTTTTTGGACAAGTTATCTTTGGTATGAAGCCTCTGTTTGCTGACGATCCAGAAAAAGACCTTGACCTTTGTTGGAACAGGGGATTTCTAAATGAACTTGAAGAAATAGGAGAAGTTGCCTCCGTGATTGAGGAGAGAGTAGAAGAACTTTACAGTGTAGACAACCAATGAGTTGTGAGGCCACCTTATACTGTCTAGTGCCAAGCTATCAGAAGGCTTGATGTGCTCAATGTAAGACAGAAGATCTGCTATAGCTGATTTGTCCTCGGCTGAAGTACCTCTTCTAAGAATGGGGCGTCATCCCCAAGAGTTATTACACCTTATACATTGAGATTGAGTGGAGCAGTTATGAGAAAAGGCCAGCTTATGGGCCTTCGGGAATAGACTACAAAGGGAGTTGTCACCTGCCCATTTGTCCACCCAGAACTTGTATGTGTTACCATCGCCTGGATTCCATCGAGCATGGCTGAAGAAAGTGGAGTGAATAGAGTAGTTGAAAAGCTCTAAAATTAGTTTATGAGGGTCATATACGAAGATTCAGAGGAAATTCTCACATTCGCATAACATAAGATACTAAAGTGTAAATTTGATTAGAAACTTCAAGTTATGTAAGTGTGTATAAGTGCAAATTAATTAGCCTAAAAGAGGAAAACCTGGATGATTGAGAGTATAAGTATCGCAAATGCTGGGACCTTTTTCTCCTCCTATTGTAGCACCTTCATACTATAACATTCATCATCATCATCAATCATTTCAATCAAATCAAAAAAACAACAAACCTCATCAATGCATAACACAAAATTAACCTGATACGCTGAGGATGAAGCCCCAAATTAGGCAAAGCCAGAAGGATAGCAGTTCCGATCGAGACGGGCTGATTTCCATGGGCTAGAAGCCCACAGGATGCCACTGAGATAACCATTATAACTACATGGAGGAGAACATATAGAAGCCTCTGAAAGAGCCTCATTGATTGATTGGAACCTCGCCGACGTTCCTTCAAGGGGTCTCAAGGTTAATGAGAAGGGTATATAATAATTTTGTCTGCTATTTTTAAGGCAGGAAAAGTTGGGAACAATTAATTTATCTGGTGGAGATTGTAGTCTGTTGCAAGCACGTGGTAATATGTAGCACGCACGAACAAGATTCCTATCACAAAAACCACCCCGAATTTTCTCAACAGACCCCTTACCTATAGAATCCAAACCCCGCTCATGACTGTCTATAAGCAATCGGGTGGTTCTCACTTGTACACTGGGAAGGGAAAATTCCAATTCTGTTGGGATCCCTCCTTAATTGGGAAGATTCTAGAAAATTCAAGAACTTTATGGAGAACTCTAGAGAAGTGTAGAATTCTCTAAAAGCGTGTGGAATCCTCTAGAATATTTTAGAGATGTGTGGAGCCTTCTGGAACATTCTGAAAGAGTATGGAATATAATGGAGAAGTGTAGAGATTCCTTAGAAATCTGTAGAAAGTAAAGATATGTGTGGAGAATTTTAGAGAGCTAATCTCCACCATTGGATCAAATTAATCCCCACCACTCATTATGAAGATGGAGTAGTATAAATAGGAGTGAAAACCTTCATTCCTATCCATCCAAGACAAGAAAACAATTCACTTCCTAGAGTGAGAGAAAATCTCTAATATAGAGAGTTAGAGAGCCTCTTTGAGAGAGAAGTGAGATAGCTTGATAGTTCAAATCCTCAAGCTCGAGTGAGCCACCAAAGTGAGACAGTTTTGTAAAATATAAATTCTTGTAATCCTACAATTTTTTTTGTATAGTGGAAGAACCTCCATATTGGAGGACCATAAACTCTTGTGCTCCCATTATTATCTTAATTTATAAATGTCTATCTTAACTTCACGATGTGGGAAAGACCAAGTTTTCCCAACAGTGGTATCAGAGCCAGGTTCGTCCAAAGTCATCGTTAGCTCGTGAAGTTCAAGATGTAGGATAACGTCACTCACGATGGAGACATGTTCAAGCTCACAGCCAACAACTACTCATACTAGAAGCCGATGATGGAGGATCATCTATACTGTAAGGATTTACATGAGCCCATCATCCACAAAACC